GGAGTGGAGCGCGGGGCGGGGGCCCCGGGCCTCCGGCGGGGAGGACCCCGGACCTCCCGGGCGGGAAGGCGAGAGTGGCCGCCGGCTCGCGCCCCGCGCTGGGAACTTTGGAGCGCAGCACATGGGGCCCGGGTGCGCGGAGATCTGGAGTGGCGGGTCCTGGGCCCCCTGGACGCGCCTTCCATCGGCTCTGGCTTACTGTCCCCTCCCGCCTCCACCCCCTGCAGGTGGCCGAGGGCGGCCGGGGCTGTGAGCCGCTGCAACTGCTGGAGGTGGCCCCCCGCAAGAGGCTGCCCGGGCTTGAGCGGGACCCGTGCGGCAGTCGCCCTGCACCCGAGGGCGCTGGGGCCGGCGCAGAGCAGGGCCACTCCGCGGGGGCAGGAGGCTGGTGCCGCCACTGCCACACGAAGCTGGCAGAGCTGAAGCGACAGGCATGGAAGCTGGTCAGCGGGACTGGGCCTCCGCTCCGGGTAAGTGATGCTTCCTCAAGCTGGCCCCGGGGCGGGACTGTCTGCAGCTTGGGAGGCCTGAGCCGCAGGTTTTGGCCAGTCCTTGCCCTTTCTGGGGCTGATCGCCGGCTTTTACACTGTGTGCGTGAGTTGGGGCCTTTTACCCCAGCAGGGTCACACAGACAGATCCAGAGGGGGTGGGGGGGGCAGGCAGATACCCCACTGCTGGTGGCTCTGTGGTGTCGGGGAGGGGCAGGACTCCGGCACAGCCCCCCAGCAGCTGGAGGTCACTCTGGGTGTGTGGCCCCAGGCCCCGGCCAGGCCCTGGAGTGGCACTCCTAGGACAGGAGGCGGGGGCAGCAGGAGGGCTGGCCCGGGAGGGCTGCTGGCCCCCTCCCCCGCTGTGGACAGGAGCTGGGTGTGGACGTCCCGCAGCGCTGCGGGCTGCCTCCTTTGCCTTGTCCTCGGCCTCCCGCCTGGGAGTGGAGTGTCCGGCCCCTAGTCCCTCAGGCCCAGCCCCTGCTGCCAAGGTGTTGGTGGGGCAGGGGGCTCCCCACTTCTCCAGCTGATGGGCCTGCCTGGCCTTGGAAGGAGCTGGGGCCATTGTTCCAGGGAACAATGAGCCCTGGAAGTTCGCAGAGCCTGGGAAGGTGGGGGGTCTCCAGAGGAAGCAGTCCGGCTGACCTTCAGCCTGGGAAGTGTGCAGAATCCCCACCGTCTAAATATAGTTCTTGCAGGAGGCTGTGGTCTGGGCTGGGGCCAGCACCCAGGTTCCTGGGGTCCCTGGTGGGCCCTTCGGGGCGGGGCGGGCACCGTGGGAGCCTGGTCCCTGCCTGGGCGCCCTCCCCATGGCCTAGCCAGGGCAGGGCCAGGCTCTCCACTGTGCCACTGGTGGGGGTGGGGGACAGTTTTGCAGACTCTGCCCCAGGCGGCCTGAGGCTGCTTGAAAAGGGGCCGTTGGGCTGGATCCCGGGGCCTGCCCAAGCTAGAGGGCCGTCTTAGCCCACTGGGGAAACTGAGGCCAGAGCGAGGAGGCCCTTTGTGATAAGCCGGGCTCAATGGGGGGTGGGGGAGGCGCTGGGCCGGGGCAGGTGGGCCAAGGTCCTGGAGGGAGAGCTGCAGGCCTCTGCCGTCGCCGGCGGACGGGACTCTGCTCTGGGGAGCAGGGTTCCTCCTGCAGACAGCACTTGCTCTTTCCCTCCCCAGGCCCGGGGGGTGCCCGCTCACCCCCTCCTGCCACCAGGCACCTGCTGGCCAGGGCCCCTGCTTGCTCCTGCCGCAGACCCCGCCTGGCTGGGCCGTCCTTCTGGGCTGGGGTTGTCTTCAGCCCAAGCAGCCTGTGGGGCCGTTGGCGGGAGGCAGCCTTCCCGGAGAGGACGAGGCCCCCGGCCGGGCAGGTGTGTGGGCCCAGGTGAAGGCGCTTGGGCCGCACAGGGGCTGGGTGTGCCAGGGCGAGTGTCCAGCGGTGGGCCTGGGTGGGCTCCTGTGTGTGACGGCCGGGGCTGGGCGCCATGCCCAGCTGTGCTGGCCCTGCCCAGCCACGGGCTGGGGCCGGGCTGTGGGGCCCGGCGTTCCCTGGGGAGCCCCGGTTTCCTCACAGGACGTCGGGCTTTGAGGTCAGAGCCACACGTGGTGTCCCGCTGGCCCAGGCTGGAGGCCGGGGGGCCGGCGGGCTGGATGGGGAGCCACATGTCGGTTATGCTGGGCGGTGGGCGCAGTGGGGACCCTGGCCAGGCCCCAGAGGCCCCAGCCCCAGGCTGCCCCACGGCGGCTCGGCTGGCCGTCCCGCCACCCCGCCGTCCCTGCAGGCAGCCGGCTCCCCGCCACCTCCTGCCGGCCAGCTCCGCAGCGGGGTCTGTGGTCTCCCTTAACCCCGAGCCCATTTCCCTGGTGTGAGGCACCCTGGCTGGGTGAGGGCTGAGGCCCCGCAGGCAACACCCCGGGTCTGTGCCCGCAGGACGTAGGAGGCGCGACCCCGTCTGCCGGGGCCCCGGCTCCCCGCTCCCGCCTGGGTCTCCCTGGCTGGGCCGCGAGCTGGGGCTGCGGTCCCCCGGGAGCCACCCCACGTGCAGAGACAGCGCCCCTCCTCAGCCCTGAAGGTCTGGTTTGGGGTGGGGTGGCCACCCCACGGCCACCCCACCAAGTGGGGGCGTGCCCCTGTGCGCGCTTGCGGCCCTGGGCCTGGCTCAGGGGAGCCCCGTGCGGCCTGGAGCCCCAGGCCCTTGCCTCCCTCATGCCCGCCAGGAACCGGGGGGTGCGCCCCTGCCGCCCAGTGCACCCTGGCCAGAAGCAGGGGCCCCCGCCATCCCGCCCCTGCGACTGTGTGCCCCACAGTGGACTTCACGTCCCCGCAGACCCTGTCATGCCCACCTTGGGCAGCCAGAGGGGCCCCTGAACCGGAGGGACGTGGGGTCCCCTTCTGCCCGCCTGAGCTCCTATCTGATGCCGCCCGCGGGCCAGTCAGGTCCCAAGGCTGCGCCCACTTCGGCCCGGGCCCCGCCTCAGCCCGGGCCGCTTGTCAGCAGCCCGTTTGGCCGGCCGGCCCTGCCCCTGCCCGCGGACAGCCTGGCCCGGGCGCTCAGGCCTCAGACCCCGCGTCCCTGCTCCCAGCAGAGCACCCTTCCCCGCGCCCCGGGAGGCACCCCGCCTCGCCCGCCCCCCGCCCCTCCAGTGGTGAGGGCTGCTTCCTTGTGTGGCCTGACATCCTGGGAGCTCTGGGGGCAGGTCACCGGGAACGTTTGCTGAATGACTGAGTGGCAATGTCCAGCTCTCACTGTGGCTCCCCCGACCCCCGGCTGCTGCCCAGGCGTGGGCCCTATGGAGGATGGGCTCCTCCCTGCCCGGGGGACCCCCAAGTGCTAGGGCGTCTGCACCAGTCTCCACCCCAACATCACGCAAAGGTGCAGGGTCTGGGAGACCCTGTGACATTTGGGGTGCGCCCTGTTCCCAGGAGGCGCGGTCCGCCTCAGCTCTTGCACAGACCTGTCACCCTGGCGTGGGTCGTCCTGCCTGCCGGGGCACCCCCGATGGCCCCGCGGTCCCCGGTTCATCCCACCCCGCAGCGGGCGGGTCGTGGAGACCCGCTGCCGGGCCAGCTGCGGCTCTGTCGCGGGTGGCTGCTGGCTCAGGCACAGTAGGTGGGGGGGCACACACAGTGTGGGGTGCCTGAGCGCCTCTGGCCACGTGGGCCGTGCGGGGGTGAGTGTGGGTGTCCACTGGGGACCCGGGAGTCAGCTGGGGAGGGAGTGTGGGGCACGAGGCGGGGTAGGCAGACCCCAGCACCCCTGGCTGGCACCCCCACCCTGCTGGCTGGCGAGGCAGCTGTGCCCCAGCCCGTGGGGTCCCTAGTGGGGGGCAGCCCTGAGAGGGTAGGGCGCAGCGCGAGGGTTCTGGGCCCGGCTGTAGGAGGCTGCGGGACACGTGGCGGGGGGCTGCCTCTGCCGCCAGCTGGGGCACCTCGCCGTGCTCAGAGCCTGGGGCCGGCGGCGTGGGTGGCCGGCGTGGTCTGCCCCTCGCGTGTCCCGGGGGCCGTCCCTCGGCCCAGACCTGGCTCTTGCCCAAGGGCAGTCGCTCGCGCTGCCTGGCCTGGCTGCCGCCGTGGCTGCTGTGCCCCGCTGCACCCCGAGGGGCCGCACCCCAAAGGGAGGCCGAGCCTGGTACCCAGCCGGGCAGGGGGGTGTGCCCGAGCAGCGGGTCCTTGGCTCAGCCCTGGGCGCCCTGCTGACTTGGGCCTGCCCTGAGCCAGGGTCTCGCCTCGCTGAGCCTCCGGGGGGCGAGCCATGGGCCAGGTGGTCCCGGGGGCAGCCCGTCTGGGGCCACCTCCATGGTCTCGGGGGGCTGCCCAGCGAGGCAGAGCTGGTGGAGGTCTGGGTGTCGGGACTCCAGGTGATGCAGGGCCCGTCCTGCCTCCGCCCCTTCTCTGCTGGGCACTGCTGGGGCGGCGGGCTGCTACCTGAGAGGCTCAGGGCACCCTGGCGGAGACCCCCAGAGGCCGAGGTCGTCTCCCGCTCCCGGGAGAGCGTGGAGGGGGACCCCGGAGAGCTTCCTGGGGGAAGCGTTTGGTCTCTGCTAGACCTGGACCAGCAGGAGGGGGTGAGTGTCTGGGGGACAGCGAGACCCCCTGGAGGCGAGAGGCTGCTGCAGCCTGTGCCCGGCCCCAGCCCGCGGCGGCCCGCAGCTGCCTGCCTGGCTGGGCCCAGGCCCCTGGGTGTGGTGTCCTGGCAGTGTGGCCTCCCGCCCCTCCTGGCCCTGGTGGTCTCTGCCTACCTGGCCCTGGGCCCCCACCCTGGTGCGGCTTCTGTGGTGTCTCCCTGCTGGTGTGAGTCCAGCTGGCCAGCGCCTGGCACTGGGCGGGGACAGTGTGCGGTCAGTGTTGGTGGCTGGGTTCTCCCTCCCTAGGGGAGAGGGTGGGATCAGCAGGGCCTGCAGCCCTTGGCACCAGGGTGGCCCTGCCTGGCCGGTGAGGGTCTGCTCGAGGGCCTCTGGGTCTCCCGGTCTGGCAGGCGGCGGGGGCTGGGTGGCCCTGGCAGGTCCCGTGGCCGCGGCACTTTCCGGCTGGAAACCGAGCCCAGCCGCGCGTCGTGGGGCGTCCCAACAGCAGCCCGGGCAGCGCTGGCCCTGCTGCCCGGCCCTTCCTGGCCTGCTGCCCCCTCCGGAAGCAGAGGCGCCTGGCCCGCCCCCACACTTTGTTTGTAGAAGGAAGGGGGCCTCTTGGGGGTGCTGGTCCCCCAGCGTGTGCTCCCAGGCTGGCCTCAGGCCCCCTTACCTGGGGGCCTGCAACCCCCAAAGCAGAGCCCAGGCTCCTCAGGGGCTTTGAGGCTCAGGCCCTGCCTGGGGGGCTGGGCCTCCCGCCCGCTGCCTCTGAGCCAGCGCGGCTCTGGGGTCTCGTGCCTGCCCAGGTGAGGCAGAACCTCCTCTTCCAGCTTTCCTTCCCACACCCTGTTGTGTGGGCCATGGGGGTGGGGGCCCCCTGGAAGCCTCCCAGACAGGCTGCGGGCCTGGGGGCGCTGGGGCTGTGGGGTGCTGGGCCCTGGGTCTCTCATGTCGGTAATGGGGTTAGCAGATGCTCCCTGCCGCACCCAGCCCCCCGCGCCCCCCGCTGAGTGGAAACCCAGAATCAGCAGGGACGCCTGGGGGCGGCCCTCTGGCTCCCGTTCTGGGGCTTTGGCCCCTGAGGTCTCGTCTCGTGCATCTCCCCGGGGTGCTGCTGAGGGGCTGGACCCGCCAGGCAGGTCAGAGGCTCTGGCCCCCCGCTCAGGCTGAGAAGGTCCAGGTCCCCCGAGTGCCCGTCGCTGAGGCAGCTGGGGCTGGTGGCCTGGCTGGCCTCCCCTGTCTCTGACCTGGTGGACGGTGGGCCCCCGGGTGGCGGGTCACAGCTGAGCCGGCCTCAGGCTCACGCTGTGCTGTGCTGGGGCCGCAGAGGCAGAGCACCCTCGGCCTGGCCCCCAACCCCGCTGACGCCCAGGCAGGTGGACACGAGCTCTGTGCCGGCCACTGGCCTGCTCCAGGCTGGGCGGGCTCCGCGCCGGCAGAGTCCACCAGCTGGTGGCAGTGGAAACGGATCACGTCGGTCCGGTACTGGTCCAGGCCACAGTGGGGCTGGGCTGGGGGCCCCAGAGGGGCCCAAGATGCAGTGGGGCGGCTCTGCTCAGACCCACCCAGCCACTCCCGGCCGAGGTGCCACCCACCTCCTCCAGGAAGCCCTCCCAGCTGGGAGAGGGGCCTCCTCTTCTTCCCTGTTTCTGCCATCTCCAGACACAGGGGTGGTGTGGGGTGGGGTGGGGTGCGGAGTGGAGGGCATTAGGGGGGTGGTGACCGAGGGGCCCCAGCACAGGGCCTTGGCACTGGCCCAGACCTCGGGCCAGGGGGGTCTGGGCTACCCGCTCACCCCTGCGGGTTCCCCAGCCACCCCTGCTGGCCACGCCCACGGGGCCGTTGCTGGTGAACCTTGGGTTCCCTCCCTCCTCCCCCTGCCCCCCCACCGCTGGGCAGGCGGGTGGCTGGGCAGGCGGGTGGCAGGGG